ATCAAGAGTTGGAGATCGAGGCAGAAACCAGATGCAGCAGCAGCTTATGGGATTTCCATCGATCAATCGCTGATGTTTCATCCATGAACTGCAGATGAACTGCTCCCATTTGAGCTTCAGGAAGAGTTCGGTGCAGCTTTGATAACCACCAGAAGGGAATTTGCAAATTGCCATTTCCTATTTTTGTTGTTTGTTGATGTTAGACCGTCGTCGGTGGTGAGCGGGACTAGAATACGGTTCTCCCCAGAAAGTGGATGAATCACACAGAGTTACCTAAGCTGCTCCATTTTTCTGCTCCTCTAACGATCATTTAAAGCAACTTCAATCACTGTAATTTGAGCACACAAGACAGTTTGATACTCCTACTTGTGTAGTCAGACTTTCACTCCCTCTGAGCTTCAGTTAAAACCAGGGAAATGTTCACATCCACCATTACAGACAACACAGAATGAAAAAGGTCGTGGTTGTTTCCCGCACATTACAAAGTAAAAATACATTTTCCCAATTCCCCATTAAAGTAAAGGCTAACATTTCTGACGAATGGAAGCTGCAGCAAGGAGTCACACAACTATCGCCTGCGACATTCATTTCCAACACAAACAGCCCTGCACTCTGCTTTTTATCGTGCTTTTTATCGCGCACTCGCAGGGTTAGTTAAAGCAGAAGCGCTGACCGTGGTGCTGAATCCAAAGGCTGTCTCGTTCACCGGGTTGATTCACGGCGGACCCGGTCTGCTTGCCTGTGTGAGAACAGCCCCGACCCGCAGAACCGCCCTAAATCTCACTGGCTCATTTAAGCAAACGCTTAAAGACTCCAAGATGATAAAAAGAAGATTACAAAACAGAAAAGGGGAGATTGCAACTGGGAACGGATAGATTGAACTGTAGCAAAAGGCAAAGATGATGGAAGAGAGAATAAAAGCACAGAAGAGTGTAGTGAAAGAAAAACGAAACCTAAATAAAAGTCAGAGATGAGATACTCTCGGGGTCAAAGGTGGAGACAGAATACCGTTAATGAGCCTGTGCTTCACGGACTCAGTCCAACGCACAGGAAGTGGAGGTTGGGGGCAGGAGTAGGCAGCTGAGGGGAGGCAGAGGACTGTAATTGCATCCCTGACCCGACTTATCTGTCCCAGAGAGAGCTGGGTTTGGTCTCTTTGCTTAAGAGAGAGAAGTCGGGTCTGCCTCCTCCTGCCTTTAGTGATTTCCTGTCTTCTGGCGTTCAACCTCGTTCAGACGAGCACACAGCAGCCGGCGTGGAGAAGCAGTTACGGGCATTTACACTGCGTGTGTTTAAAACAATCTGCTTCAGAGAAGGCATGCACACTTTGTGAGCACAATATGAGCCAAATCCGGGCTTTGGCCGAACAATAGTGTTTGTAAAAATAAGCTGTCATTGGCATGAACGTTGGCAGCTAAGCAAAAAGGAATCAGGACTTTAGAATATTTTATTTGTTATTCATCCATAATATTATTCATTCTTAAAACAATTCAAATGGCATTTATTCCTCAGAATCAACTGGTTTTGTTTTCATCACAGATCTTTTTATTATTACAACTGTCACGTACCTTGAAACATACTATAAAAATATATATAGTCATAATATATGACTTTTAATGAACAGTTTTACCATCAGATACAGTATATGTTATTATTGTACAACAGGTATTGTTCGAGCAACTCCATTGACCCTTTAAGCCTCACCCCCCTTAGTTACGGTTGCTAGTCAAAGAAATGTGATGCTTCTTAATTGGCAACAGCAGCAGATTCAGCTTCCAGTTAATCCTGCGTGGTTTTCAAAATAGTTAGTTAGGGGAGCACCGGAAACTAAAATCTAGCACTTTTGCTTGATTGGACAGCTCAGGGCTGCAGAGGACAGCGCTTCAGGGTAAGCGGTTAAAAGGTCAAATGGGTGAAGTGAACCATTTACCGCAGCAGGTCCGCAGTCCTCACAGCCGACGAAAGCGGGCAAAGTGGGAAATAAGAAAGAAAACTGCAGTGTAGTAATCACTGCCAGACTCTGCTTCCGTGCCATCAAACAGGCGTGTGCGTGCGCTGTCCCACGTCTCAACAAAGCATGTTGACAGATAGAATTGCTCCCCATCAAATAGTCAGGATTGCCGAGGCTACAGTTTTATTTGCTGCAGGAGAAAACACGTTGTTGGCGAGAGTCGCACACCGTTTTTCCCTCTGGGGGAGTTCTCTGTGTTCTTTGCCACCGGTGAAATTCATTTAGTTTCATTTTTGGCTCCTTTTAAAAGGCTCAACGTCTGTGTTCTTCCATAAGAAGCTTTGAGCCGTTTAACTGTCGCCAGGTCAGATTTCCCCCATTTTGTCTTCCCGCAAAACTACGAATGAATCCGTCAGCGCTGCAACGGGATTATGAGCCGGAACTCAATCACTACGAGAGCGGCGGTCGCTCCACGTGTGAGCAAAACCGACAGCCGCTCCTCCTGGTGCGTCAACAGCGGGTGTCCATCGAAATCTTTTTTAGTTTTTACTACTTGTGTGAATTATGATTCTCGTCTTCCTCCGCTGGCTTTAATCACACCTTCCCCTGCAGCCACAGCTCAGACTCTGTTGTGTCACCTCTCTCCGGGCCTCCGTCCCAATCCTATCGGGCCGAAACAGGAACAAAGACTCCCTCCATACCTGCTTCCTCCTGGTAGCAATCTAGAAAAGAAAAAAAAGACCCCCTCTCTGGTCCTGTCCTTACCGCCGAGCGACCCGCCACAGCTCATAATCCAAACTCAATTTGTAAGGCAGAAAAGTCCCAGTAAGCTCCGATGTGGCGTGTAAAATATTCATGCCGGTAGGTTCCAGTTGCTGCTTCATTCTGTAATTCAGCAAAAAAATATAAACATTCTGTATCAGGTTGAGAATGTTTACAGCTGTTTTTTTTTTAATCCTCTGTGGGCGTAGATGCTCGGTCATACAGAGATATTTGTGGCAATAAGTCATTATGTCAGAGCTTCATGCCTCAGCAATTTCAAATTAAATCCATAACAGAATATCAGAATTGTCACAAAAAAACATTGGATTAATGCCCCCTGGGCTGCCACCTGCAGAGGATTTTATAGTCACCTAAAACGTATGCATGTATATGGACCATAAAGGCGGTAAATGAATGAGGTTAATGTAACAAACATAAATCCAGAATACATAATTCCCCCCCCACACCCCACTTCTGGAGACCGTGGAGATCCTTTTACTTGACCAACCAAACACGCCGAGAAGAACAACGTCCCAGAACGCAAGAATGCCCATAAAGACATCAGATTTATTGCAGAATTTGCGCTTGATCCACATTTAATTTAGCAAACTATAAAGTATCAGTGAGGCCAATTTCCCAGAAGCAAATTACTCGCTTAGTCCTTAATTTGTTTGCTGTGTGCAGAGTGTTGGAATACATGAATGTTGTGTCGGCCCAGAGCTCAGAGATCACTCAGAGTTCCTCTGGAAACTGTTGGTCAGCGGGTCGTCTCTGTGTGGCCTGCATGCGTTTGAAACGAATGGAGTAGATTTTCCTCTGAGTTGTGTGAGGCTCCTCTTTCATGCGGCCTGGCGACAAAAACAGGAAAACAAAGAACAACGAATATTCCTGCCATGTAGAAAAACCGGGTCAGAGTATTGATAACCTGATAGGGATTGAGCGACTGGTTGGGGTTCTAGGTGGAGTGATGTTTAACTGAATTCAATCCAGCCCATTGTCACCGATACCCAATCTGTACATTTACATCTTTGTGAATTCTACAAAAATTTTACATTAAAATGATCATTGTATCAAATTAAAATTACAAACATTATATATGAAACTGTCAAAAGCAGGTCCACCGCAACCAAATATAATAACACATGTCAGCAATCATCCTTTTACAGCAGAATAACCCTACAAGGACAATTTTTTGCATTTGGCACTTTATTTTGCTCATAAAAAAAGACTGTACTACGTACTATATAACTCAAGGAAATAATGGAAACACTTTCTCCATGATAGTGTCAGAGGTGTTTCATGAAGGACAAACTCTTACCCTGGCCCCCACCCACACACACAAACACACACGGAGCGAGCAGCAGAAGCGTTCAGGAGAACGAAGGATGCAAAAGATAAAGCAGCCCAATAATCCCTCATCCACCACCAGTGTTCCTCAGAAGCACGTCAGAGGCATCAGGCAATAGAAGCACACAGTTGAAGCAAACACTTACAGTGCCGGTCTCTCCTGAGCCAGGACACACACACACAACCACCTCCCCTCCTCACACACACACACACACACACATTATCCTGGGATGCTTCAAGTGCACAGCGCGCTGCTGGGAAACCATCAGGTACTGTATCCACTTCCTCTCATCCTCTCTGTGATTCTGAAACAATGTGATTACAAAGATTGGCGGTCAACTCAGCTGTGAAGTCGAGTGCAAGCGTTTGTTTTTGGGCATGGAGGAGAGTAGGGGGGCAGTTGCAAGTAGGGCCACAGAGACTTTGCGTGGGCCGGTGTATGCATATTTAACGGATGAGTGGGAAGAAATAATTCAGAGTGGGTGAGTTGGGAAGATGAGAGAGAAAGAGTCAGTATTCCATCAAGGGAGAGGGGAGGGAAGTTTGCATTGGACCAGCCGGATTGGCTGGTTTGGTTTCTGATGGCCGGTCTGTGTGGATATAACTATCAAACGATGGGATCAGGTTCGCAGGCCTGCAAAGTAAACCCCTCAACGTTTCCCGATGTATCCCAATTTTTCCAACATTCATCTTTAAACTATTGAGGACGGTGATGTCCTGCAGCCTCTCTCCCTCTCCCCCTCTCTCTCCCATCACCCTGAGGCACGCACGAATCAGAATTGCAGTGAGGGACAGTCCAGATGCTCACGTTTTCACCAGGTTTGCAGCTGTGAGCACCAGCCTCAGCACCACTTCCACCATCAGCACCAGATCGGGGAGGGATTTTTGGGGAAGGGATTGGGGAGGGGAGAGAGGCGGGGTGGGAGACACGCTGGGAGGACCGACGCACGTGAACCGCGGATAAGCTCCGGGAATAGTCGACAGGTTGCGGCTCGCCGGCTGCACGCGAGGCTGCGAGTCGAGCGCTGTCCGAGGTGCTGAAGAGCCGCCGGGCAGACAGGTCGCTCTCCCCCTCTTTCCTCTCCAACCCCCCCTTACCCTCCCTTCCCTTCCTCCCCGCCGCCACCACCACAGGCGAGACGATATACGCAAGTACCGACGAGAATGCCGAGCGGCGCCACAGCGGCGCACCGGCGGTTAACGCAGCGTCCCCGGCCGGAGTAAATGGGACCACCCGTCGTGCGAGCTTTAGAAGGATGGAGCGATTTGTCCCCCTGCTCGTGCTCGGCTGTCTCTGCGTGTCTCGAGTCACAGCGGGTAAGTTTCTGTGCATCTGTGTTCAGACGGCCGGTGATTTCTGTGCATTTTGGAACGGCGGCTCACCGAGTGGGATTATTGTTGTTATACATTTTTTTTAAAAGAAACACGGAGGGATTTGGAGAGAGTGAGGGAAGGACGTCTGGGTGTTTGGACAGGCGACCGGCAGGCTGGTGTTTTTGTGGAAAGGAGGGCTGTCTGTGTTTTCATCCACAAGGAAACAACATCTAATTTGAGCGAGTCACACCTGGGGGAGACGCGTACGTGGCGGCGCACACGGCGGTCAGCTGATTTGCACCAGTGAGTGCGGCTGAAAATGACCTGTAACAAAGTATGTTATTGTCTAAGTAAGAGCGTTGTATGCGTGCGTGTGTTTGATGTAAACCAAGCTGACCTTTGAATCTCATTTCACGCAGGTACTATAATCTGCTGCACACAAATACACACACACACACACACACACACACACACTCGTTTGAGAGGTCAATGTTGTCTAAACTGGTCTGCCAATGGGAGTGACTGAATAGTGTTTAAACATGCGTTGACCCCAAATCATGGCCCTCTGACATAGATCAATGGAAACGTCACGGATGCGTGTTGTGCACGACTGCGCGCGTGTTTGTGTGCGTGAGTGCGGGCGCGAGCGAGCGAGCTGACGTCCAAGACCTGCTTTTTACAGCACAGACCACACACATACACACACACACACACACACACACACACACACACACACACGCAGCACTCACTGGGATGGCGTGCCTCACTTGAATGCATCCTCCCACATGGCGATGGATCACTGCGCAGCCCCCCTCTGTGTCTCACACACAAAAACACGCACACAAATAACTAGAATATCGTTTATCTTTTTGCAAACTGAATAAACCGTCTCGTTTTGAAAAGGTGTGAATAAAATGTTTGCACCGTTATGTTTTTCATTGGCAGCACTTTATTTTGACTACATAAAAGTTTTGAACTGTGAGCTTTGTTGTACTCATTTGTAAGATCTTGTTAATGTGTTTGTGTGATGAAATATCTCTGTGATAAAAACAAGTTAGAGACGTAGTTAGAACATAGTTAGAAATACACTGATTTAAGGAAGCATATACATTACTACAAGTTGACATGTGAAAACTGATTAATTTACTTAATTCCAGCAATGTTAGTGAGCATAATCTGTTCATACAGCAGGTATTGTGTTATTTGCAGAGGTTCAATTAGAGACATTATTATACACTTAAAATATCAGCGTACATTGTGTGTTAAACCATTAATATGCTGCTTATAATCAGTCTCAAAACAGTCACATATCACTTAACCGTTGATTTGAACAATATTACAAGAACGGCAGAGTAGCAAAAACACAATAAAATGGTTAAAACAACAAACATTGAATTATTTGCCACTATACAGTCAACAACAGCTCGGAAGTGCAGCAACTCGCTTCCGCTCAGAATACAAAGAAGGTTACACATCAGCCGTCACTGATTTATCACGCGTTCAAATGTCAACAACAACCTCGGCTCAAATGAAAGATCTTCACCGAGCAAACGCAGGCGAGTGGTCCTGATAAGAAATGGCAAGGACCATTATTCAGATGTATACACTCAAAATGTTTTCAATCTTTTATAGTGAGCCTCTTTTATGTGGCTGAAATAACGTTTGGCTGCTGCCCCCATAAATACCTTGTACAAGGAAGTGTCAAATCATCACTATTACCCCATTAAGTCTTTGTCCCTTTTGACTGATGAAGACGTCAAGACATTGGTCGGTTTCATTTGTTTCCCAAAAGGATAAAAAAGTCCTTCAAGTGGATGAAATAAAAGGACTATGCAGAGAGGACGGCCGGGCGCCGTAAAACGTTCACAACGAAGGCGTCTTTACTGTTGTGTGTGTTTAAAGTGACTCATAAACAGTCCGCTGATCCAGGGAAGAGGGAAGGTAATGTTGCCATTTAAAATGTAAATGGACTGCGACACGTTCGTGTAAATGAGTCCATCAATCGTCCAGGGCAGATTTCCTCGGCCTCTAACAGATCGGAGTTTGAAAAAAGTGAAAAGTAAAACAATGAATCAATTGTCAAACTGAATTGAGATGCAAGTGGAGGAAGGGCTCAGGGCTGTTTGGCAGACACTTGTTGTAATGAGAGAGGGAAGAGCTCAGAGGTAATATCTTACAGTGGGATGTAAACCAAAAAGAAAAACCAGGAACATCCTGCAAGGTGATACATTAGCTGGAGTCAATTTATCATTTAGCCTCCTTCAGTACTTGGAGGAAAGGTTTATGAGAACTACCCGTCTTCACCACTAATTATCAATGTTAGAGATGCCGATTTTTCAGACACATGCGCGCTTCTTTCTCAAACACATATTAAAAAGTGCATGTTTGTGCCTTAAGGATTATTTGTGAGACTCAACACGGTGCGTTATTCATTCTAAAAGGCAAAACAGCATTGGGTCTCTGATGTTGGCGTTCTCAGATAGAAGTTTATTTTTTTATATCACATTCCTGAAATGAGACCATCGATCACCATTGAACACAGAATCCCCAAACGGTAGAACTGTGCCGTGTGCAGAAAATCAAATACGATATCTATGTGGACATTGCAGAGCTGAATCGCTTTTGATAAGCGATGTTTAGTCATGTGGATTCGACGAGCAACTACGATAAGTCAAGTGATGGAGAACTTTGCCGTAAAGTAGCCTTTAAAACCAGGAAGAGACAACTACCACGCCGCATTACCTAATCTAAACCGCTCCACTATCCCGACAAATATAAGGACAAACCTTGCCTGCCAGACACAAACAGTGATGTCGTTAGCGTTGCTGTGGCCGATGGGCACTTCAGCGGAGTCTCGCCGTGTATTTCTAATCCTCTGGATGTGTTGCTGCTGCACTGACTTCATTCAAATGGGAGATCTTCAGACCTGGAGCAGCCTACTGATCAGAGGGAATCATTAGTGTTCCCTCTGAATGCGCACTTAAACAGGGCAACGAAAGCATGAGAAGTGTGTGTGTGTGTGTGTGTGTAAGAGGGGGACATGTGCATCATTTGTTCTGATTATCTGTTCATTAGTTTCCCTCTAGCCAACTGTGCAAACACCATCAGCTCTTTGTAATCATTAGCCATTTTTTAGTCCTGATTGTTGGATATTTTTAAAACATATTTGTCTGCATGGTTGTTGTTTTTTTAAGAAGCTAATCGCATCAAAGACCTCGAAATTTAACAATCACATCTTTTATCGTCTGTATGCTAGAATATTTCAAGGTTTCGTCGAGCCACTGTGTGAGGATTGAACACTTGAGTCATCCCAGTTTGTACCAGACAAAATCGAGTCACTTTCCTTTTCGTCCAAATCACACAATCTGAACATCTTTTCATTTAACCTCAAAAAAGAAGAATACATCAGTTCACAACAGTGCGACTCAGAAGACATCAGAACATAACATATGATTCAGGGATACTTTTAGTTTTTAAACAGTTTCTATTGTCAAACTGGAGCCAACTGCATCCACACCGGGTCGCAGTTTAGATCCGTGTTTACATGCAGAACAAGTTCTAGAAGCCAGAACTAACTTATAATAACCTTTAGTATTTCATCCGTG